TTTTCTACACGTACAGTTATAGAATGTTCTGGAGATATTTAAAGCGAACTGGAATGGCTGACGAGGCTGACGTCATTTCTTGGAAGCTCCGCCTTTCCAGAGGCTATAAAAGGACTCGCAAAGGAATATCGGGGTCTTTTCTTTAATGTAACGATGCAGTAAACTTCATATGAAAAGTTATTAGTAATTCTTTTTTATTTACTCCGGAAATATGATTTTTGTAACTTCTATTTCTCCGGACCAATAATAAATGGATCCTGTTTTTTTAAAGTTATCGTCTGATAATTTAAGCTACGACTACATCTATATTTCTTCACCAATCTATTTATTCCGGGAAAAAGCTGGTACATTCCATATATATAAATGTATTATAAACTATACAGTACAAAGTCCGAAATGCGGACTCGTCGGGACTTCGGTGATTCCGGATTTGGGATTTTTCCGGCTATTAGATCATCAATTTAAATCTGGTAAGATGGGTAAGATGGCATGCAGAAATTATACAATTAAACATATGAAATCGTAATTTATAAAATAAAGAACAATTATGATCTAAAGGGTATCAAAATTTACAAAAAAAAGGCTTAATATTTATTTGTTTACTTTATTAAACATTTTATTCAATGTAAATTGTTTAAGTTTCTTCCACAAAAAATTCCAAAAGTTCCTTTTTCTTTTTTCTTATGTCATATACAGTTGACTTTCCAATACCATACTCCTCGCATAATTTAGAGATGGATATGTCTTTATCCATTTTTTGCAGCAAATTCACTTTTTGTTTAATGGACATCGAAACATGGTTTCGCTTTGTAGATCCTTTGGCAGCTCCAGAATTGAGAACTCTTTTCGACATAATCGAAATTTCAAGCTTAGTTTGTATAAAATTGCCGTAATAATAACAGTCTGCAAAAAATAATAAGCTGGATCAAACTTGAAGATCAGAGGAGCAGCGCAGTCTGCTACATTAAAATTGAAATGTCTTATAATAATTGTCTTAGTAATAATAATTGTCTTATAATAATTAAGATAATTTTAGCCTAGCTGAACAGCGTTCATTATACATTATTGGCTGAGTATCACAAGAATTGGCGACGAAAGCTAAGTTGTTTCGCTAAATTTTGTCTTGCTCCTATTACATACTTGAATTAAGCCTGAATTGTATTAGTTTAGTTATTTACTATACCTACGTTTATTTCTTGCATATGCTTAAAACTAATCTGAGCCCTGAATAAATAAACTCCCACATATACATAACGCTTTATCTAGAGCCGTTACTGCATAGTGCAGTCTCTACGGGTCCTAAATTCTGCTACAAAGCGCCTTCCTAAGTTCTAAATTTTCACCTCATCTAAACTTTGCATCCCAGTGCTTTCCCTAAATCATACAAAACTTCTCATCCCTTAATTTTCCTGTGCTTCCCCAAATTCCAAAACGTTCATCTTCCCTAAATTCTACCTTCCGGTGCCAACATATTCTGCTCTGCTTCTGGGTTTATGGTGAATAACATATCAGTTATTCTTAATTAAAATAGCACTAAAATTTTGGCCTATGAATTTCATTAGCGAAATCTATTTTTAGCATATAAAAAGAAATTTTTGTTGAATTTTTCCTCGTCAACATTTCTTAGAACATTTAAAAATCTATAATCATCGCCAAGCGCAATGTTAGCACAAAAGGTTGCCATTCTCTTGTTATTCAATTACTAATAAAAAAAGTTTAGATATCACTGCCTGAGTTATTACTGAAGCTGTCATGTATTGATAAACATGCGGTGATGAAACCCAAATGTAATAAATAATGACTTGCCAGGTCGACGTCAGGGATAAGTGAATGTTTCGGTAAGTGCGGCGAACAGCGGTAAACGGAACGGAACGTTTGAGACGTATGCCAAGCAGATAATCAGCTACGGAGATAAATTATTAATCTCACAAATTTATGCTTACATTATTGTTTTTCCATAACGAGGTATTTTATTTAGTGCCTAAGTGAAATTAAGAATCGGAATTTTTAAATGAAAATCTCCGCATGTTTTATTATGAAAGGAAAACTAAAATGCGCATTCGTAAAGCATACCAAAAAAAAAATGTTTGTGGTTTTGAGCTTCGGATTTTAGATCATTTCGGATAATCGGACTTTGTACTGTATTAACAAATGCAGTGAAAGGGAATTGCAGTACATATTCCTATTTATCCCCTTTTTAAATTTATTCCACTAGTGGACGAGCGGTAAAATTTCTGAGCACTGGTAGTGCGGTTCGAGGTTCGAATCCCGCCAAGAGGCTGGCTGCATTGGCGTCATTACCAATGTATCTGACATTACCAACATATCATTGGTAACTTCCAAAAGCATAAAAGTTTAAGGCACACAAAATCTGTTTTATATATACATACATACATATATATAACTGCATTATAAATATATTAACAGATGCAGTGAAAGAAATTGCAGTATTTATACCCTTTTTAAATCGATCCCCGCTAACATTGGAAGTTCGGTCCAAGGTTGGAATCCCGCGAACGGGCTGGCTGCATGGGCGTTTTCGAGGTTTTCCCCATGTGTTACGTGAGTATGAGCTAGTTTCCCTTAGGATGTCCTTGTTTTTTGGTTGCTATGGGTTACCAGACTGGCAGCGTTGAGTTGTAGAAGGCAAGCCGCCACAAATGTCTTAATTATATTTTAGTGAAACTAATATATTTGCTGTTTTCCTATTTCACATATAAAGAAGGGGTACATACTTTTAATTTAAAATTGTAATTTTTAAACTAATGTATATATCGATGTACTTAATTTCATGTTTTGATGAGTAATTTATAAATTTATAAATTTTATGTTTTAAATTATAATGTATTTTTCTCTACTTTTATTTTAATTTGTAGTGTATAAAAATGTAATACATTAGCACATGCATTAAAGAATATGCAGTACATAATGCTACATTTCAAATGTAGAATAACTAAATAATGTAGAATCGTCAGCATCAAATGCGTTATTTCTATCGCGAAATAGTCGAATTTTTCACATACCTTAAGAAATTAAAATATTTATTACGTACACTTCCAAAAACAATCCGTGGCCTCCGCCGTCCTCAGTTTAACTCTAAAACGACAGTCAGAAACTTAAACGGCAGCTGTCTAGCTGGCGGAAAAATTTCCGTCACGTCGATCTCTGTATTGATCGAGACGATGACACCAGACTCGCTGTCTGTCGAGTAGATCGCAGAAACGGCCCGTTCTTCTATCTCGACGGTGTCGAGACTAGGGACCTTGGTCTTCCACATGCCCATATTCGTAGGAGGATTACGTCATTCAAAATTCGATGGCTCTATGTACCGTTCTTTTACCACAAAGCGAGATATGCATACATTTTTGCAGATTTTTCATTATTTGATTTCTTTAAATATTAAAATTTAAATATTAATTTTAACACACGGCGATAATACTTTGTGGCAACAGTTGAAAAAGTCATTCGCCGTTTGTAGTGAATCGACGCAAAATCGCAAAAACGAAAACAAGTCCTTCAGGGACAAAGCCCCTTGGAACTAATAATAAAAAGAGGGAGATTTTATGAGAAAATTTTCTTACCTTCTTGTGGTCAATTGAGGTGACTATAATTTCGAATAAGGAAATACTAGCAGCATCTACCTATCGTTGTGTAATGAAGAATATATCATGTACAACGCAGAAACAGTAAAGAAAATGTAACCTGAAATAATAATAATAATAAAGACTAACAACTCATGCGAAAAGTGAGGGCGGGGGTTGTATAGTTATATACATCGACCAACGTCCAGTTACTACTCATTCCCACAAGAAATTCCTGACATCAATTGTCAGGGGTCTAGAGGGTCCTGGAAAGCATAGCCAGTGAATTATGAGTTACTGATGAGGAAGTCCGCGTCGCTTGGGTGTGGAATGTGAGGATAAAAGCATCTAAAATACGGGAAAAAATCTAAAAATACTGGACAGGATGGAAGAACGACCTCTAATTTAGTAGAGAAAATAATTTGGTAGGAAAGGAACGCTACTTACTAGGTCCCGGTTTCGGTACCGCTCAAGATTATGAAACCGCTGTTGGAAAGTATAATAGCGCCTCCTGGCACGCAAAAGACAGTCCTGAAAAGGAAAAAAATATATTTATTCCAGGAGATAATGATTTATTGTAAAAATTACCGTTCTTTCGGAGCGCTGCAAAAGTGCTTCTCGAGATTTCTGAAAAGCAAAAGAGTAGAATTACGTTACAGCTAACACAGTAATCAATTACTTTTATTCATATTCAATATAAATTACCCAGATCAACTTTTATTAACTGTTAAATGCGCGTGCTCCTGTACTTTTACTTTTCCAGCATAGCTTTCTCTTAAACTCTTCTCGCGCTTCATTGCACGAGGGAATAAAACAATTACAATTGTAATTCTACTAACATTAGTGACCTAAGTATAAAATTCCTAACATTATTTTACGCTGAAGATTTTAATTTTGCAGTATCTATGAACGATTGAATAGTTAATGCAATGTTGATAAAATTAAACCCTTCTTCATTGCTACTTACATAATTTACCCAGTTTGATTATTTCTTTAGAGAGCAGATAAATTGTTCTCAGTTGAGTTTGGAGGCCAGTTTCGCACATTACCTAAGCTCCAACCATATTACCAAAGTTCCTACAAAAAAAAATTAAAGGCGTCCAAAAATTTCACAGTGTTGGTGTAAACGTATGCAACAGGACCACAAACACAGTTTTTGCTATAGCGCCTTTTCGGTTGAGCTTTACAGAAAACATCGTAAATATGAGTTCTGTATGAAGTTTAGAATGTGCATTCTCTTTTTTCTAATAGTTTCAGTTTGTAGCCACAAAACGATGCAAATGACTGGCAGCATTGATTTATATTTATTTACAGATTACAGGTGGCTAACATTTACATACGCTTTTAAGGATGCTTAGTCAAAAATGGGATTTTTATGTAAAAATGGGACAGACAGAAACAGAACTGCGCTGTCTCGTTTAAAACAAGATGCCTTATCAGCCCACTTAAGTTTAAAAAAGTATACGCAAGTGCATTTCGGGGAATTTAACTGTGACCTGTTAAGAAACTCATGTAAAAAATAATAAAAATGTCTAACATCAGCGACAATTGAACTGTTTGCGTATGTGGTAGTCTAATAAGAGATACTAATTTTAATTAAACCTACATATATATCTTCTTTTTCAATGGATATTTATTATAATAGCTGAAGGTAGGTGTATTAATTTGCATTGTTCTACAATTATTATTGATATCACTTTGTTGAAAATTTTTCTCCAATTATTTGTATATCCGAAATGATAAAAGTTCTTTATAATTAAAATTTCGAGAGTGAGTAACTGAGGTTTAAAGAATTGTAAAAACTGATGTAATCTGTAGCAAATTATGACGAGCATCGTATGAATGTATGCGGTCATTGAACGTGAAGTTTGAACAGCACTTATCCATAATTTAGTATATTTTGGAATGTAAATATTTTACATAAAATTTAATCTCCAGTGTAGCGTAGTTAATTTATATTCAGATAATAAAAACTGTACGTAGAAATTCTTTAAAGTTAAGAAAATGTCTGTTATGTTGTTTTCCGAAAAAAAATGTTGATGATTATTTTGATTTTCAACTTATTCATATTTCGTAGTATTGGGTGAAACGATTCCACTTTTAATTCTTTTCTAATAAATGTCGCATGAATGTGCTATTAAAATAGGAAAATGATTTGTTATTAAAATAGTAATAAAAGTGAAGTAGTAAATCGTCAATAAATACAGTGTGAGAAATAATCGGATCGATCTTCCTTGGAGCACTTTTAACACTTACAGCTGCCATTAAAATAATAATAATACAGTAATTTATAACAATATTGGCTAAACTGCAGACAGTAACAGGTTGTGCTATATGTTATATTTTTCTCAGATAGTGTAAACATATGTAGTTATTAGCTGTTAGATTTCACTTGAAGAAAGGTGGATCTAGTTTTGTGGAAACCTTCTGTGTAAGAATGAAGTGCACTTCTGAGTAAATGCATTCATTAATGATGCTTTCCTTTTGGTGATGGTTATAATTATGAAATCAAATAGTCTCAATTTGTAATCCTGGAAATGGAAGTAGACTTCAACTGGATGATAAAAAGTTTTGATGAACTACACTGTTCATCCTAACTGACATGTTGCACCATTTCAGAGGAGGGACCAAGGGAAGTATTAGAGATTATGAATAAAGACATGTTCTCTGTCACATTTTGAATAATAACTGAAAACAGGTCTATTTTTCCTAATCTAAAATATTATTGCCAAAAAAAAAGTCCTTAATTAAATATGAAGTCTGGCTCTCTGATGAGATTTGGGGGCCTTGGTTAGTTGCAGTTGACCGTTTTTGCATTGGGAATTTTCAATCGTAATATAATTTCATTTTAATTAATTTTTCATTTATGATAATTGCTCAGTATATTTCAAGTGAACATTTGTTTCCTTCCATAATTTGTGTTAGGTGGTTATGTTTTGTATTGGTATACTTTATTTTGTATGATATATATTTTAAGAACAAAAGGGAGCCATAATTTTAATACATAACTTAGTAATTTATAACTTAGTACTTCAAAATGCAAGTTTTTGTAACATGAAACTTTATATCAAAATATAAATTTAATATGATATCTACTTCATTTTTTTTTCAAACATACATACAACTCTAATTTCCAAAATTTAAATTTCATTTATATGAAGTAATTTAAACATCTCTCTACATAAGGTAATAATGCTTTTTTTCTTTTTTTGTGATAGTTAAGATGTTTTTATTGCAGGTTATATAAAGTAGAAGGGAAGAGGCAGAACTAAATTTTGTTTTAGAATTAATTCACTGTCCAGTTAAAAAGAGTAAATCTTTTTGTGGTTGTCACCTCCCTAAAACAACTTTTATTAAAAGTTACCAATATTTCTTGAAGCAAATGTAAACTTCAGTATTGAATATCACTTTATTAAACCAGCTACCTGTTTAAAAAAAAAAAAAAAGAAAAAGAAAGAAAGAAAGAAAGCTAGAACCTAGTCCGATCATTGTATAATGGGAACTTAAGGGAAGAAATTAAGTTCGTATAAAATATGAGATGTAATGAATTATTCATCAGTTTTTATCTAAAAAACAATGAAGTAATTCCTGACAGTTCATACTTTTTTTTAGTGAAAAGAACATGTGGTTGAAAAATAGGTTTTCTAAAAATTTGTAATTTTTAGAAAACTTATTTGTAATTGTTAATTTTTCTTTAATATTCAAGTATGATTATCAGATAACTAAAAGCCAAAATTAAAAAAAAAAAAAGATCACATCTATGCACTACACAAAAGAAATATCTACTTACCTGATTTAGAAATTCCTGTGTCTTCAGTCTGTGGCACACAAAATTCCTTAACAGCATCCAAAAATTTTCCTCAAGCCATGTTCCCATTCTAATGGAATGCTTTATATGGTGAGCATTTGTACCTTTCTTGCGACAAAGCTATCTAAACAATCTTTACTTTCGACCATACGCATTTCCTTCATACAAAGAAGACACTTATATTTCTGTTGCATTACATCCAACAAAGTTTCTTTTCTTCTGTTCTCAACCAGTTAAAAAAAAAGAAAAAACCTTCTGCTGTCTCGTTCTGTACCATCAAACACCCAGTTTACCACTGGTAGCCATTTTACGATGCAAAGCACACAATAGGTATGCATCCTAACTGATACTCAATGTAGAAATATGCCCTTACGAATATTTTCCCATCAATCAAATTCGCCGCAATCATGCAACCAATCAATTGGGTCATAATAGGGTTTCCATAACATTCAACTACTCGGGTTACTATAAATAAAACAGCGACTTAAAGATAAATGAAACAACCACTTGGCAATAATCCAAGGGGCACCCTAAAATTATAGGCTAGCCCTTTTTATTTTAAGAGTATATTGCAATTTACTTTTATTCAAATTAAATGCAGAAGTCGACATTTGATAAAAAATCGAGTCGGTAATATGTCAATTATTGAATAATAAATATTTAGTAAATTTTATTTGATAGGCCTTTAATGATGTTTGATTGTAAAAACAGCCTGGAAAAGTGGAACAGTGATTGTGCTGCATTATGACAAAGCACCCTTTTTCTTCAGCAGTTATCAAACATGTAATATCCAAATTGTTTGCTGTTTTAATAACTTCCAGTTCTGATTACTTTTTCCTCGTATGAAAAAAATAATTTTTTGTGACTGAAAATTTAGTGGCATAAGCATTTCCTTATTAAAGTTGCTAATTATAGTAAATTGACTTGTGAAATCTGTAATGTGCAAATTTCAAATGTCACCAAAGGCTTAAGCAGTGAGTACTTTGATTAGGAAATGTCCAATCATGTTTATATATGGATATACTTTGTTTATTATTTATAAAATAAAAAATTCATAAATAATTTTTCTTATTTTTTTTAATAGTTCATCATAAAAAAGCAGTTAATGTGTATTCTGTTGACTTAAAAATATTCTGACTGATAATTTCCTCTGATGTAACCAGCAGTTTTTTATGTGTAATGCTCAATTATTTACAAAATATGATTATTCAAAGCACACTTGCATTTATTTAAGAATATGGGCATTAACAATGCATGGTCCATGCCAGAATCTTAAACTTTACCTAGCAATTATCATAACAGCTCAATTTTGATTTTTGACTAAGAATTACCCTATTTGTCTCAAATTCCCGAGATTAGTTGTTCTTGTAGGCAGTGATATATATATATATATATTTTTTTTTTTAAATTAAACAGCAGGTGATATTTCTGCAAATTGTGTGTAAAACTTGAGAAATTTTGTAAAATATTTGTAAATTGCTTTTAAGGTATAAAAAATCAGTGCTATCTGCCTTTTATACATAATATTTATGAATGATAGTTTTTCTTATTTTAGGGTGTAGAACCTGAAGACAAGATGGGGGAGATTTTACATTCAGATTTAGAATGTCCTCCATCACCTGCTCGTCTTGAATACACATCAGACAAACATCCTCGTCATACGCTTGAAGCAATCAATTTGTTAAGGAAGCACAGGGAACTATGTGATGTTGTTCTTATTGTAGGAACACGCAGGATATTTGCTCATAGAGTAATTTTGTCAGCATGCTCTCCATACTTCCATGCCATGTTCACTGGTGAGCTTGCAGAAAGCAGGCAAACAGAGGTAATTCTTTTATTTATATATATATTATATATATTATATATATATTTTTTTTTTAAGCTGAATTTAAATCTCTCAATAACAAGGTTTTAAAGGCTAAATTACACATTCAAAGCATATCAGAACAACTGTTTAGTGCATATTCTTTTTCATATGATATACAACAGCCAGTTATGATTTATCACTTTGAGGTTGCCATGTAAAGAGATAACAGGTTCTCCATTTCAGACTCTGAGATTGCTAACAAAGAATAAATATTCAATTCTCTTCAATAGTTCGATGCTGATTTGGTGAAAACCTAAAAACTACAACTCTCTGTGGAAGAGAGGGAAAAATTTATTTAGTAGTAGAGCCAGTAGAAAAAGTATTTAAAGCAGTTGTTCATTTAAAATAGACAGATGTGTAAAAGTGCCTTTGAATCTCTTGTAAAGTTATATAATTATGTAACATTTATTATCCTAGTTTATGCAACTTTTACATGTATTTTTATAACATTTATATCATTTATATTTATTTATATCGTTTTATTACCATAGGTTGTTGGCATATTTACATCATTTTATAACTGTAGATCATTGTAATATTTATATCATGAAAATGAGAGAAAACAAAATAAGCATTTGAGATGCTGATTAATTATAATGGAATGATTAAGGGAGATCTTCATCTGTATGTAACTGAACTTAGGCTGGTATGATACTGAGTAGTGTTGTCATTTAATGTCAATGCAGGTAACTTAAGAATGGAAGGAAAATGACTTTGAGTATCTGAGGAATAGGGTTAAAAAAACATATTTCAGTATTTTAATGGATCATAGGAAATTATAGGACTACCAAAAGTCATTGGTGGAAAAAAAGGGGTTAATGCATACTATATACATAATATAAACGTATAAAAAGAAAGTTTAAAGTAGATTACATAGATGATTTTATTTCAAAGTAGAATTGTTCATCACATGCTGTAAAAGAATCCACAAAAAAATTTTTTTAAAAATAGCAAGTGTTTAAAATAATTTTAGATAATTAGCTTCAAATTAGTGTTTTTATTTTTGTACATATATTTAAAAAGCCTTTGGATTGATTTTTGCCATTTATAATTTTTTAAACAATGTGTAGGATTTCTTGAGTTCAGTTCCTGTAATTTGAACATCTTTGCCTTAAGGTTATCCTATTTTAATTGCTCCAATTTATAGTTATTGTGATGCATTATTTTGCCAGCTGTGATTAAGGATTTATCAAATCATTATTTGATACTGCATCTTTGAATTTCAGGTAACAATTAGGGACATAGATGAACATGCTATGGAGCTGCTCATAGATTTTGCTTACACTTCTCATATAATAGTGGAAGAAAATAATGTTCAAGTTTTGCTTCCTGCTGCCTGTTTGCTCCAAATGGCTGAAATACAAGAGGTGTGTTGCGAATTCCTTAAGCGACAATTAGACCCATCAAATTGTCTTGGAATAAGAGCCTTTGCTGATACACATTCTTGTAGAGAGCTTCTTCGCATAGCAGATAAATTTACTCAACATAATTTTCAAGAGGTAATTTTTGTTTCCTTGTTGTGTATTTAAATTTGTAAAATTTTAGCAAGAAAAGCATGCCATGTAAAATAAAGTGAAAGTAAACTAATCATATTATAAGATATCGTTAAGATTCAATAAACATGTAAAGACTGAAGTGGTTTAACCCATTAACTGCCAAAACTACAAGGAATGATTCTTTTCTCATGAAAATAATAAATATTAAATTAAGCATTTATAACATAAATTTACATTGAAAATATATAAAAAAAAAAGTTTTTACCTGTGGAAAAAGCGAGTGTTTAGTTCGCGCAACATCAGCGGAATAAGACTACAGATGTTTACTGATAGAATTGTACTCGTGTGCGATGTTTCCTTTGAGTGGAGCACTGGATTACTTTTTAGCTGTACAACGTTTTATAAATCACTTTACTTGTAATTAACTTAATATTAAAATATACATTACATTTCTTTGACAAATACAGATTATTTCATTTGAAAGATTCAAGCATGAAAAGCTCCACTACAATCATGATGTAAAGCTACATTATATACTTTTCATCTATAAACAGTCTGGCTATGGCACTCTTTACAACGAAGTCTTTTGTTATAATTGGACTTTATGATAAAAAGTCTACCATCTTCATGTAATAGTTTTTGAATGCTGAATTTACTAGGTCTTCCTGTTGCTGATCTATTTCTGGCTAATTCTACACTCTCAATAGGAGTTTTCAAAAGGAATAATGCAATCTCGTGTATGAAATCTAAAAGACACTTTTTGTTTCCAGTAGTAGAAAGTCGTGATATTTAGTAAGTTAGATATGGTCTCACCTTTTCATATTCCCACACTGCAAATGTGATATCGATTCTCGTACAATAGGAATAGAAATGTCTTTATCAAGTGACCAATACATTTCTTCTTGAGGTAAAGAATATCTCGTAAGCAATAATATTTCAATAAATCTTTCCATATAGGCTTCAGATGCAATAAATTCTGGGAGATTTTTTTTGCTGAGCATATATATTTGTCCGTTCAACGAGAAGAGAGTAAATCTATACCAAAAAGAAAATCGAAAATCTCTCCAGTAGTTTTACCTTATATTTTGTCTTTTATAGTTTCTCTTCTATCTCTTTCTTTATTTTCTTCCAGAGACATAACTGACGATTCCTTTTTTTATCCATTTCAAGTTTTCAGTTTTCTGCTTTTTAAAGATTTTCTTATGACTACCACTGCTTTTAGAAGGCTGAAACTTACTTCTTACATGAATTTCAACTTTCCCAGCAATATCATTAGGTAAAATATCATTATCATTATTTAAAACATTGTCATTCCCTTCTTCTTCATCAGTAGCTTCTGCAATTTCTGGGGGGGGGACAACAATATCAGTTTCATTCTGGTCATTATTTACGTTATCATCATCTGTTTCTTCATCGAAAAACTCTTTGAAAGGCTTCATCCAATGTAAGATACCTTGTTATAGGCATTTTTAAAGCAGCCAGAATGTGAACCAGAATATCGAAAGGAATGAGTAAAAAAGGAGCTCCGTTTCCTGCTGACATTGCATCAGCACAACACCTGTTTTCCTTTCCTTCCCAACACAAATATAAACATGTGATTGATGTAATGTTCTGATAAATGGTGACCTTGACTAAAAATAGATCACTTATAAAGACGGCGATTCTTTCATTACATATTTTCGGCAAAAATATCCGGTCGAAAATTTTGCTTGAATTTTGGTTAAAGTATGAGATTAATTATTATAAACAAAATGATTGTTGAAGGCAAATATTTTTTTTACAGGAATAATCTTCGTAATATTCCCTACACAAAATCATCTGCTGGTACAAAATATCTTAGGTAGTTATTTATATAGGCATTTATTTTGACCGTTGCGTCAACGCAACACCAGCGGCTAATGGGTTAAAGTTTTGCCATTCCCCCTTTTTTTTCTCTGGTGACTTTGTGACCAATTAACCTTATATACTGTTATGAGTTTTGTATACTGTAATGTGAAAAGTCTGAAGAAAGTGAAACTTTGCCAGAAAAATAATATTACAAGGGCAAATACAAGTTAACATTGGTGTGAATGGCTATCTTGCTAAATTGGCAAGATGTTGCCTTGGCTATGGTTTTGGTATCGAATATTGCTTGCTTCATCAATATCTTTTGAAATAAAATACATTAAAATAATTTGAGCTATATGTAACATTGAATTTTGTGTGTGTGTGTGTGTGTAATGAATTAAAAATTTTTGTAATGTAGAAACTTTCCAGAAATAATAACAGATAATCAGTTCATTACTTATCATAGGGTTTTCATGAGCATAACAGTCTGAGACATCACTTTCTAATTCCTGCATTTAACATGTTGTAAGTTGAAACTTTAGAGAAATTACATGCATGATTTCAAAACTCAGCTTTGGAAATATATTTTAGATAGGATAAAAAAATGAAGTAGTAACATTAACTTTTAATTTCATTCATATCTTGTATCTATAAACTTAATTGCTTTAAATTGGTTCTCTCTAAAAAATGATGTTTACTTTTATGATGATATGCATGGATATTGTGTGAAACAGTGCTTCTCAAATTGGGTCTGTGAAAAATTATGAAACTGAAGTTAGACAACAAGAAACATGCATTTAATGTATTTATACAATTTAAAATAACTTATAAAAGAAACCTGGGTAAAAATATATTTCAGAGTACACCTTAATGAAAATTGGCAGTTTTTTTTTTTCCCCCACCATTCTTGTTTACATCCAGTGCCCTCCCGAGTAAAATTGCATCCAAAACATAATACAATAGAACATAATTAAAATAAAAAATATATAATCTCAATAAACTGCATTTTAAACCAAACAAGGAAATAACATAAAAATGGAAATATAGGTTATCTAATCTACGCAGTACAAAAAGGAAATACCCACTTACCTTATTTAAAAATTTCTGTTTCTTCGATGTGTGTGACACACAGAAATCCTTAACAGCATCCAGAAACTGTCTAAATTTATCTGAACTAGAATCTTTATATTGCCATCACCACATAAATTCACAAAAGTAAGAATAAAAATTATCCTCTGTAGTGTTGCACAAGCTCATTCAAAGTCATCTGAACGATATTTACGTTCGGCATTTTCTTCATACAAACAGGACACTTATAATGATTACTGAGTAAATCTTCATTTACACAGCAGTCAATTAATGCTTGTTTTCCCATTCATTCTAAATCCTACAGAAACTTCAAATTAACCTTATGACAGATGGCCATTTTATAATGTACAGCACAAAATAAGCAATGTACTTCTTGCATCCAAAGCAGAAATAAGCTCTGCGAAATTAAAATAACCGCAATGGTGCATTACAACCAATCAACATTCAACTACTCAGGTAATCCAAGGGTAAATGAAACAACTTGGTGATAAATCCAAGGGGAACCCTAAAATATAGACTAACCAAAATTTGAAGAGAAACATAAAGTGATTTAGATCACACAAGTAATAAATTTAATACAAGATTGTTTATATTGGAAACAAAATACACGTAGAATGCATTTCTGGTAGTGTTTCTGTTCTGTGCTCAAGAGTAAAGAAATGTTTCAGTGTAACTTAGTTCAGTGTATTTTAAAGTGTTAGTTTTCTTTGGATATTTATCTTCTTTTTAGAATTGATAAACAAATATAAAATTTTTACTTATGCTAACTAATCAGGATAATATTTTACCATTAAAAGCACTGTTCTTTTAAAATATGAACATTGCAGTATTTTGCTGTCATGGAGATTATGCTAGAATAATCTGGATTTATTTTCTGAAAAATTATGCGTTTGTGTTCGTACCTTAAATTCATTTTTTAATGAAGAAAGTTTAAAAACAGGCACTTTTACAGTAAAATATTATAACATTTCCGTAACTTGCAGTTAATCCTTGGTCAATAAATCCTTCATTGCTAGAAAGACAATTCTTTAATTCAAAATCCTTTCATGATGACATGTATGAGCACTGCTGATTATAAAAATATCGGTTTGACAACTGGGTATAAAACAAAAATTTAAAGAACAAATTAGGTACAGTACAAAGTCCGTAATCCGGACTCGTCGGGACTTTGGCAATTCCGGATTAGGGGTTTTTCCAGCTTATAGATCTTCAATTTAAATCTGGTAAGATGGCATGCAGAAATTATACAATTAAAATTATGAAATAAAGAGCAATTATGATCTAAAGAGTATCAAAATTTACAAAAAAAAAAAAAAAAAAAAAAAAAAAAGGGGGGGACTTAATATTTATTTGTTTACTTTATTAACCATTTCTTTAAATGTAAGTTGTTTAAGATGCTTCTACAAAAAATTCAAAAAGTTCCTTTTCTTTTTCCTTGTGTCATCCAATGCCATACTCCTCGCATAATTTTGAGACGGATATGCCTTTATCCATTTTTTAAAGCAATTCCACTTTTTGTTTGATGGACATCGAAACATGCTTTTGCTTTGTAGATCCTTTGGCAGCTCCAAAATTGGAAACTCTTTTTGACATAATCGAAACTTCAAGCTTAATTTTTATAAAATTGCTCTAACAGTCTGCAAAAAATAATAAGCTGGATCCAATTAGAAGATTAAGGAACAGCGCAACCTGCAACATTAACTGAAATGCCTTAGAATCAGTAAAGATAATTTTAGCCTAGCTTATAACGTCCGTTATACTTTAAATGCACATGCGTAAACACATTACGTGCATGCATAAAGCATACCAAAAAAAAGTTTGTAGCTTTGAGGTTCGGATTATAGATCATTCCAGATTGTGGACTTTGTACTGTATATTTTTTATTAAGTTTGTTAAAAGAATATCAGACTTAACAAATTGAACTTCTCATATTGTACTTCCTTTTGCAACAGTTTTTATGCTAGGCAGTTTTTTCATCAATGGTGAAAATGGTGCATCTGTAAGTAAGAAATTAATTTTCTAACTTTGTGCCTGACATTAAAAAAAAATGTGTAATTCAAGACTGAAACCTATCAAAGTCGTTGAAATCTCAAAATGTTTTATTTTTTAATATTATTTATTTCATCGTGTTAATTTTGTCTTTTTTTTAAAATTAAAAATTGCATTTAACATTTAATGCAAATAAACATTTCTTTTATAGATCCCTTCAGTCCAGTACTTGCTGACATATACATGTACTGTTTTGAAGTGAATTATTTGAAAAACTATCTTTTTGTCTTTGGATTCACTATCTAAATTTTTATTTTCTGATGGTAATAAAAAAGATTTATGCCAAATTTTATCTGTTATGAATTTGATTGGCCCAACCATCCAGTTTACTTTGAAATTGAATCTAACAATTCCTTTTCATTTCTTGATATTATAATTATGTGCAATGAATTCAATTTCAGCACCACTGTTTACCATAACATTTTCTGTTTGATGTTTTCTTGCTAAATGATGTCACCTGCTAAGTAAAAGATGGTCTCTTTTTACTCTTATGCATTATTCAGTTTGGAAAAAAAATTTTTTTTAGGTAATGGAAAGTGAAGAGTTCTTGTTGCTTCCTGTAAACCAACTGATTGACATAATTTCAAGTGATGAACTTAATGTACGGAGTGAAGAACAAGTATTTAATGCTGTTATGTCATGGGTAAAATATAACATTACTGAGCGAAGACAGCATTTACCTCAGGTATTTTTATATTGTTTTATCAGATTAATTTAAGTTTTTTTTTTTTTTTTTTTTAAATGTAAACAATTTTGGTAGTTGCAGTTTTTCCTTCTGTGATATATTTTAAATACATTGTGAGGAAAGAGAGTGCAAACATTGTACCTATCTTTTAATTGAATGCATAAAGTTCTGTTTTCAGTATTTTATTATAGCCCTGTCAAGAACTAAATGGTTATAAAATGAAACGTTTATTGGGGGGGGGATGTATCTGAAATGAGATGGGTGTTGCTCATTCCTAACTCTTGATGCATTGTCCCTCATCTGACATTGAGAAGTGTCTTTTATTGTTCTAGTGCTAACGCACTTCTACGCTTCCATTGCTTACTTTTTGTCATACCTTATTTATATTTTGATAGCATAATCACTTTCTGTTTTCTGGATCATATGCTCCTACATTTGGCCACCTTTTATTGTATTTTAAGATTAAATAACATGGATACTGCATTATACAGTCAAAAGTCGTTAATCCAGACTCGTCGGGACTTCGGCAATTCCGGATTATAGATCATCAGTTTAAATCGCGTAAGATGGCATGCAGAAATTCTAAAATTAAAAATATGAAACCGTAATTTATGAAATAAAAAACAATTATGATCTAAAAGATATCAAAATTTACAAAAAAAAAAAAAAAAAAAAAAAAAAAAAGCTTAATATTTATTTGTTTACTTTATTAAACATTTCTTTCAATGTAAGTTGTTTAAGTTGCTTCGTTTTATGTGATAATACTTTCTCTTTAATTCTATAAACAGACATAATTTTTTGTTCAGTTACAAAGTTCCACTGTTCAAGTCCCGTTAATTGCTGTGCCGAGAATACCGACTAACTTGTCAATCAAAATTTTTTCGTTTTCACTAACCTCTCTGTCACATTCGTCATGTCTTTATCCATTTTTTGCAGCAATTCCACTTTTTGTTTGATGGACATCGAAACATACTTTCGTTTTGTACGATCCTTTGGGAGCTCCAGAATCGGAAATTCTATTTGACATAATCGAAAGTTCAAGTTTACTTTTATAGAATTGCTCTTACAGTCTGCAAAAAATAATAAGGCGGATCCGATTCGAAAATTAAAAGGAGCAACGCAATCATCAACATTAACTGAAATAGATAATTAGATAATTTTAGCTTATACCGTCCGTTATACATAAAACGTGCACGCAAAAACGTATTCTGCGCTTACGCACACACGTAAACGCCTATGCGCATGTGTCAACGCGGCGCATGCGCAGAAAGTTTTTAGCTTTGAGGTCCGGATTATGGGTGTCCGAATTAACGACTTTTGACTGTATCAGTTAAACATTATTCTGTACCTATTAACAGTATATCAAATGGAAAAAAGAGCTGTACGAGTTTCGGAATGTTATCGAAGTGAAGTTTTCATAATGAAGTTCTCTGTGATGAATTCATCAGGCTAGAGCTGATGACTTCATGTAGCATATATAACTTTCTTAGTCACTAAATTTTAAGAATGGGTTTCTCCTTGTGCTACGGCTTGCAAGATTTCCTAATATTTTTAACCTGGAAAAGCCTTGTTGAAAATTTAATGAGTTAGAAATAGAAGAAAGTGGAAAATAAACAGAAAAACCAACTAAAGTTGGCAAAAGTTGTTTAAATTGTACGTAGCATCACAATGCTAATTTATTAAGCTTGAGAAATAAATTAGAATTCCCGTTTTCTTTTTTTTTTAGTTTCTGTGATAAACAAGGAATGACATTATTAATTATTGTCTCCCCAATAAAGCTAGTAAGCTTTCATAAAACTTGGTGGTATGTTAAAGATGATGTGTGCATACCATATTTATCAATATAATAAATATTGTGGTTTTAAGAAAATTATTGAGAGCTGCAAATTTATTTTTCTTATCCATAACACTGAGTTTGCAAAAGCATTAGAAGAGAGAACATTTCCCCAGGAGAGAGTCACATTTAGATGTAATTTTAAGGTATCTTAGGCTGCAATATTGAGTATTTGATAATTTTTAAAAATGCTGTGACTGATGGAGGACAAAGAGATATTTATACAGTGAATTATATAATGAAAAATGAATTCTAAATAACTAGAATACTTATTCATATTGTATAATAAGATAACAAAGAATGGGTTATTTTTCCTAACATTGTTTTTAAATGGTACTTATTTTCAGGGATACTGCAGAAACTCAAAGTTGAATTATTGAGTTTATGTTGTTGTTGTTGTTCTATATGCTTCAGCAAAATACTTAATATATCATAATTGCAGTACTTATGAAACTTTCTGCTGAATGTTTAATAACATTTGTAAACTACAGCTGAAATTATCTTCAGTTATTTCCTTTTCTAAAATTACAGATGTAATATCAAAATTTTTAATCATTCTAATCTTGAATAATTTATTATTGTGTACTAAAATGTATTCTTCACCTGAATCTGATTCTTTGTTAGTAAATAAATATGGGACTTTTGGTTTTAAGCTGCAGTTTCACCATCAAAATTATTATTCGAATATGGTATGAGAAAAACTTAATGAAAAGTTGAATTTTTATTTATTATGAAAAAAATAGTAAATATAGTGGTTCTGTATCCATCACACTCAGTTTCCTTGAAACAATACTTTATAACTTTAAAAAGTGGATTGCTTCCAGGCACAAAGGCTGCTCACGCAGGGGGAAAAAAAAAGAAAAAAAAAAAGTAAAAGCTCTGTTTGGGAGTGGAGTTTTTATGTACCTCCTTCAGATGAGGTGAACTGCTTTATACAATTTATAATACATACCACATATAGGAGCTAATCTGATTTGTTGGGTTAAAAAAATCTTTATTCATGTGCCAGATTCTTTTTGAGTCCTTTCAGTATCATTAACAAATAGTAATCATTTTTAAGACTGAAATTAAAACATATCTGGGGTTGACACTAAAGTATTTAATATTTAACAATTAAAAAAGAAAAATATAAAACAGAAATTTTAACTATTTTGTGAAGAAATAATCTAAATGCTAAATATATTTATCTAAATAATTTAAACATTTTCAAAGTATACAAATAAGAGTAATAAGTCATGTAATTATTAGACTTAAATGTACCCGGCAAAGTGCACTTTTGCAGTTTTTACAGATAAAAAGGAATTATCACTTATAATTGCAAAAAATTATATATTATATACATACATATTTATGCATACATATTTTATGCTTTATATTAAGCATTCATCCCAGAAATGAAACAGTAAACCTGCTTACAGGCACTTATTTCTTTTGTTCTGATGGGACTTTTGTGAGAATTACTTTTAAGAATAGATTCAGAGCATTCTCTTCAGATTTTTGCAGAAAAATATTATATTCCTGGACATATTTTACTAGTTTAATTTTTTTTTTTTTGCGGGGGGGGGTGTTAGAAAATTGCACTAGCACGTATTTTAAAACTCAAAACTGTCCCTCCCCCCCCCCCAAAAAAAAAGAAAAGAAAAAATTCTGAACTTGGAATATAATCAAAATAATGCATGTAAAAGTGGTGAAATTTGCTTATTGAAGCTGTTACAAACTTGGTTTCTAGTGTTTAGCACATTCTGAAAATTTGATAACTTCTTGTTGCACTAATACATAAGTATCTAATTATTTTGCACTTTGCTAGTTTGAACTTTGAACAAATGCTTTATAAACTTTTTTAAATGCGATTTTACTGTTAATTCTCTGAAAACTATTTTCCATGAAAATTTGTAATTTTTAACACAAAATATGTGTATGCATTTTATTAAATTAAAATTATATTTTTTGTTACAGGTCTTACAACATGTAAGGTTACCACTTCTCAGTCCAAAGTTTCTTGTGGGAACTGTTGGTTCTGATCTTCTCATAAAAAGTGATGAAGCATGTAGAGATTTAGTTGATGAAGCTAAGAACTATTTGCTTCTGCCACAAGAAAGGCCTCTTATGCAGGGGCCGAGAACAAGACCTAGAAAGCCAGTTCGTAGAGGTGAAGTTTTGTTTGCAGGTAAATATCATATTAATTTCTTTTCATAAATTACTATTATTAATAATTAAGCATCAGGATACTTCTTAATATTTAAGTTCTCCAGCTTTTACTTTCCATAAACATTGTTTTGATATGCATTATTTGTATGGATATATTGAATTTTATCTTTAGTTTAGCATAAAGCATTTTCATATTTAAAATTCATATTAATTATAGAGGTAATACCAGAATGATTGGGATATCAAGGCTCAGAAATACTTTGTAGTGTTAAAAAAGACTCTGGCAAAAGGAGTCTATGCCAGCCATCTTGCAGTTTTGCTTCATGATGTTAGGTCTTGATGTAACTAGTTCAGAGTTGTAGGTAGTGAAAGCTGCATACATAATTATGGTAGATTTGACTATGATCTTCTCAATAAGTTAACATCAAACACATACTAATGCTTTTATAATGATTCTGGGTACTCTTAAAAACTTAAGACATGATCTGATTATGCCATCTCCCTGACCTTCATGCCAGATGATTTAATAATATGAATGTCCTTTTTCTTGAAGATAGTGATTTGATTTCTCATCATATTCAGTTGATTCTGTTGTTGCCATGTAGAACTTTGGGGCATATTAACCACTTAACTGTTTTATTTACATTTGTAAGTAGGAAAACATCATTAAAAATAATATTTGTAATATTTTAAGCATTTAGAACAACTTTGATACTTCAAGTAAAACAATTTTTTCTTTGGAATTTGTCATTTCTTCCTACACGAATGCCTAACAGGGAACTTGCAATTATGAACTTGTGTATATATAATATATATATATATTCCAAAAAACAGTTATTAAAAAAAGCTGGCATTTGCCTTTTTTTTTTTTTTTTTTTTTTTTTTTTTTTTTAAGATTATTTGAATTAGATAATGAAATTTTTTACTTAAATCCCGTAGGGAAGGTGATTAATGGATGGCTAATTCAGATGATCTAATATTTAAATGTAAAGTTAATTCCTCTCACCACATCAATTTTACTCTCCAGGTGTGGCTCAGAACTTCAAATTATATTCTTAAAATACAAAAGCTTTTTCTGGCCATTCCTTTCCTTTTATTAATTTTACGGGCTAGTTTCGTTTCAAGTAGGTTGCAAGCTCTCTAGCTTGAAGAATTACGACTTTAATTAACGTAACTGTTTTTTTCTTTTCTTTTCTTTTTTCAACTGCTTTCTGGCCAGTTTTACCAATTTTTGGAATTAGCCATTTTGTATTTTCCTTCTGTTACTTTCTAAAATTTACTTTGAGCAAGATGCCATTTTGATCAAAGTTCTGCCATCTTCGGCCATCACCCCCCCTCGATTTTTTAGTCCAATTTTTGCCCACTGTCAGTTACGTTTCATTGGCCATAGCTTCATGACATTCATTTACTCATTAGCATCGTCCCACCTAATTGGTGAGCTTAATTCTTATCTTTTCTGGAGGCAAACGGCAATTTTTAGCTCGTAGCTTTTCACAGAAGCAGTCTTAGATACAGGTATGTTTAAGATATTTCCTTTCCTTGTTTTAATTTTGGTCATAGCAAGACCCAAATTCTTAAAAAGTTTTTATTCCTTCTTTCACAAAGTTTTAACTTTTCAAGCTAAGTAGGTATTCCTTTAAAATAATGTATATTTTGACTAATAGCAAATCGCTATTTATTTTATTCTGTACATTTGCCTTACCAGGCTAGTTTGTGTAGTTTTTTCCTTTCACCATTAATGTGTTTCTCATTTTCTTTTAACCAGCGGATGCGTTAGGAAATGAAACAGAAAAATTTAGACTTAAGTTTTATTAGGTATTTTTATCGGTTTAATAGTAAAAAAAGTTTTTCCATGTTTAATCTCAATTCTTGATGTTTTGACAAAACACGTTATGGAATTAGCTGGATTCGAAGCTCATTGTGCATTTCACTTGAAATTTAGTAATTTTGCTTGTGTTTTTAATGATTTTTGTGTTTATTTAAAAATGTTTTAGGATTGTTTAAGTTTTCATCCACTTTTTTTAACATTCAAATTTGATTTGAATTTTACATTCACTTTTTATTTGTCTTTTTTTCTATGTCAGTTTTCTAGTTAAGTATTTCATATGTCTTGTATTTAAACTTTTTGTAATTGCGTTTTTTACATAGTGTTGTTCTACAAAATTTTACATGGGAACCACATTATCACATTTGCTTTTAACCCCTTCGAGCCGGGTAGCGAAAACGCACGCTTATCGCGGAGGCCGGCAGTGTCTTCCGCGAGCGTCTCTCCAGGGCCGGGGACTTTTTTGCTACTAAGCCTAAATCCATGAAATTTCCGAAGTATCAACGCATTGTTTAATAATGCTCTATAGAGTATTTAAACGGCTTATGCTTTATAGATATTTTTATATATATACTTTAATTACCTTATTTCTTGTTTAAATGCATATTTACACATTTTATTTTAATTACTCACCATTTTATGACTTTTAACATTATACATCTGAAAACTAAATATATTACTTAAAATTCTCTTTTTGTATGAAAAATTTAAAACAGGGATCTACAACACAGTCCTACGTTACATTCCTTGAACTCGTAATAACTCATTTGCCGTTTTGGAGGATTTTTCCGGGAATGTGAACAAACGAAGCATCGCCGTCTCATTTTCTTATCAGTCTCTTCTGAACAAAGTTTTGGAAAATGTCTTTCAGTTAATCTTTCAGAATCAATATCTGAAATATTTTGCATCATTTCTGCTATTTCATGCTCTGTTAAACATTTTCGACGCTTCGACATTGAAACGGTAAAAACAGAAAGAATTAACATCTAACAAGATCTAATTATTTTCTAAAAACTGGACTGTAAAAGGAAATACTCAATGCTTTAGCGCATATAAAACTTTACTTACAATAAACAACTACCATGTGCGAATAAAGTGCGATTTAAAGAGACGTCATAAATCACGCCATTCGGAAACATTTAGTTCCCCATTTGTTTATATAATCAAAAACACGTGTATGTGAGTCATGCTTCTCTCATTTTGAGTAGAAGGTCTAATGTACATGTAGCTGAAACCATATGGACATACAGTGCCATCTTGTGGCAGAAATTATAGTTTGAAAAACGTTCCAAGGTACTGGCACAAATACGTGACAGTCGGTAGAAAACGCAACAATGCTCTGGCATGCCTGCGTGTCGGCCGGTAGATAAGTGTGTTATACGTGCCAGTCGGCGCGAAGGGGTTAAGCAATAGCATGAAGAATTTCCTTTTTAACTTATATTTTTTAACTTATAAATATAATTACAATTATGTTTGATAACAATTACTACAATTACATTTACTTAATGCACTGTCTTGCGAGTCTTTTCCATTTCCCCTTTAGGTAAAGTCACCTCTAAAAATATTTGCTAGTCTTAGCAAAGCTGATAAACATCCAGGAAGACTTTACCTTCTAACACTGCATGCCTTTCAATCAGTCAAACAATAGTATTCAGCCAAAGCTATTAATTTGTTGCTTTACTACCAATATCTAAGTTATCTAGAGAACTTTCACTACTCCCAAATTCATTTCCAGACATTTCAGATTCTGCTATTGATAATTTAGCTAGTTCTCTCTTTTAATACTTTTTGAAATTTTTTTCTTCTTAATTTTGTTAAATGAAAATTAATGCAAAAATATTTAATGTAACTTCGAATATTGCAAGTTATAGTAAACAATGTAAGTTTTTTCACACATTTTTTTTCACATTTCATAAATATTCCCATTTTATCAAATTAATTATGAATATCAAATGTTTATATGCTATAAAATTTTGTGTGTGTGTATATATACAAATTTTATTTATTTTAGGTCATTAAGTTCTTATCTGTTTTTAATTTTTTTAACCCTTTTTATATTTTTAAAAATATACAGTTGGTGGTTGGTGCAGTGGAGATGCTATAGCGAGTGTTGAAAGGTATGATCCACAAGCAAATGAATGGAGGATGGCAGCGCCGATGAGTAAACGGAGATGTGGAGTTGGTGTAGCGGTTCTAAATGATTTATTATATGCTGTTGGAGGCCATGATGGGCAGTCTTACTTAAATAGCATTGAAAGGTAGGGTATATCAATTTCTCTTGTGTTAAATTGTTACTTAAAAAATAATGAAAGAAATGATAATAAATAATGATTAGGATGTAAATAACAGATGTTAATTTTTTTAACACTGAATTTTAAACTTTCAGTGGTTCCAAGATTAAGCAATTCTTTCTTCTCAAATATATGCGGTATCTGTCATAAATTTGTAGTGTGTGCTCAGATAGTTTGTGTCCACTGTTTGTGCGTAACTGGAATGCAAGCTGAGCTTGTTGATAAACCATCAAAAGGTTAATAAGGTGTATTAAGAACTACACACTTAACATATCTTTTTTTCTTCTCTCTGGGCTTAGAGAACTCCATACAAATTTTTGAGTTGAAGAGAAAATTGGAAAGAATAGTCAAGCAGATAAATTCAAAAAATCAATAAAATTGCTGTTTCACAATTAGTAGTCTTTCCTTGGAAATGTTACTGTTTATACTAAAAACTTAAATTGTTACAAATTGTATGCAAAATGAGTTCTAAAAAATGTTGATTGTCATGCAGAGTGCATTTCTGATTGCTGTGACTAGGTGGATGGTGAAAATTTGGCCAATATTGTGAACGGTAATGAAACGTAAAATTCTCATGGTACTGTCAAGTTGAAAAGATGATCCGTGCAGTGGCATTTTTTCAGATTTGCCAAAAATGAAAAAAATCAGGCAAACTCCTTTAATATGGAAAATTATGAACACTCTTTCCAGGACAAAAAGGTCTTTTGGTTAGATTTTATAGATGCAGGAACAGTAAATCACAGAAGCATACTCTGACTTTTTGTGTATATAAGGCATTGAGAAGTGAGAATTGTGGCAAACTTTTGACAAACTGCTCTAAGTGACTTTCATGTCTTTCTTCACTGCAGAAATTGATCTGATTCTTTATTTCAAAGAAGTAATCAATTTAAAACTGCTATAGAACTGCAGGCAGTAGAATCTTGTATACAATTTTTCAGCATGAAAATTGATTGAAAGAAAATGACTACACAGAAAAATGGACAAGAGATGATCACATTTTGAACCCCAATAGTTAAAATTTTTCTTTCTTCCTAATGATCATGTTGCCCTTACTTTCAAAATATGCCTCTGTATTAAAAATTATATTTTATTTGTGATTTATAATGGGAGTTTTACAAATGCCTTATTATATAGAAAACTTTGCTATAACAATCTTTCAGTTGAAAAGTATAAAATATTCATAATGTATTTGTGCAATTTTCATAAATGCAGTTACAAAATTATTTTGAATATCTTTACATCACTTGTAAATGCCTAATATTTTTCAAATTGATAATGTGTGATTTTCATTAAGTGATTATATAATATTCATTCTTTCCCTACACGAAAAAATCTGATGTGTACACCACGACTTCCTTTTACAGAATATTAAATTATATGCAATTTTCCTGCATTTCATATAAACATATTCAGTTAATGAATTTTGAATTAAATCTACTTCATCAATAGTGCATAAACCACAATAGAATAAATGCTCTCTTTAAAGTTCACTGGATTTATTTACCATAGCCACTCTTCAGCACTAGGTTCACTTAACAGCATTACATCTAGTTAATTTTATAACTTGGGAGTGCACAAAAATTATATCATTTGAAGAATTACCACATGTTCTATTCAAATACTAAAATGTTTTTAAAAAAGTTTTTCACACACAATTCAGTGCCGCTTATGTAATGCGCATGCACTACTAATTAATTCAGTTCTCACTTCGCGCCGAGGCAAAAATACATAAAAATTCAAAATAATTTCATTAAAAATTGAAAGATATAGAAAAGCATAAAACCCCAAGTACAGTTAAAATAATTGAAAAAAAAAAAGAGAGAAAAATTTTTACAATTAAAAGTACAGTTTCTATGCAAAAACAAGCAATTCAGCCAGTGGGGAAGGAGGCAGATTTTTCAGTGCGCAAACTGAAAGTTTACTTTTGGTCTCACTTGGCAAAAGGACACTGAAGGTGTAGAAACTGCCTTAATTTGTTGTGGACACTATGCTGAGTCAATATATGAGATAATTTAATAACTTAAATCATTCCTGAATAAATTAAGCATAATTTAATTTGCAATAATAAAAGATGTTGCTTTGTTGTTGTGAAGCTTAGTTTTTCTAGATTGGCAACAAATCCACTATTCTGCCAAATTTCAAATGTAAGCAAATATGGCTGATATGGTAAACAAATTAGGCTTAGCCACATTTAAACAACTTTTAAATTGTTGATAATTTTACAACTATAACATGCAGGTTAACTAAAGGCATAAAAACCTTAACCTGAAGATAAGAACATCATAATTCAATCCTTTTTAAAGCAAAAAATGCACAATTTAAAAACATATAAGAATAAAGAAACTGAACTGAGTAACAGAGTGGATATATATATGCATATATTTATATACTTTTGGTGCAGCTGATTGAAACCAAAATGGGAGATGCACATCTATATTGTTATGAAATGTCCAGAAGCTGTAAAATAGCTTCCCTGCAAAGAAGTTGTAGAGTTGCTAGAAAATGGCAAGGGACGTCAGGGTTGCCATATATGGCGAGAAATCGCTCATTTGGTGACAAAATTGGCAAAATGCCATAGACGGATGAAGAACCTTCTGGGATGAATTCTTACCGGTTTAACCCAGAACGAACACAAGCCGAAAGCTGTATAAACCCTGCTGGTAGACGGAGAGTCCATCGAGTAGATAGACAGTCAGTGAGTACCGAGTTGGTCGTCGAGTGCACCGAAAGAGTCTTTTAGTGTATCGCAGTTAACGCATCGTCGAGAGAGTGTGTTGAGCTCCAGGAATGACTGAATCGAGGAGTCTGGAGCTGTACTCTAGTGTGTTATGAGTTGTAGCGGGGAGCATTTCGAGAGTACGTGGAGTTCCAAGAACGACTGAGCAGAGTCGGGAGCTGTACTCTGGTGCTTTACAATGAAGCTGTCTCCACCGTTATGGCCTGATAACCTGAAGGCAGTGTCGCTGATTGTGTCAGTGTGTTTATAGTAGTTCTTCGACGACTGTAAATGTGATTTTTGGAGCTGTCCTGATTAATATTGGCTAAATAAAGTGTGTTTCGATACATCATCAAGTAGTATCGTTGTTATTTACTCCAAATCCGCATGAACCCTCTATGTACATGAAGTAAGGGAAACGTTCTGAGGCTACTCGTTTTTGATTTATAGGAGATGCGTACGTACAGATGCCACAAGAAAATCTCTTCAGAATCCATTTTAAATCAGTTTTATAATTTTTTTTGGGGGGGGGAATAAGTCCATTATTCTGTCCTTACGTACAGATGTCGTACAAAAACATTGTCAAATTGTATTTGATAGCGCTCAAAATGGATATATTCATTGAAATATGATACCCAAAATTTTTCGCAATTACAATACTTCCTTTTTTACTTCATACAAGGAAGTAAAAAGAGGTAGTGGATATTGTTTTAAATTGGCATATTGTTTTCCAGTCAATTGAATTGTAGCATATTAAATAAAAATAATGTCTAATTACATATCGTTCTTTTTATGTAGCTAGCACTTCCACCTATTTAATGTATTACTTATAAACCACTTTCTTCAATTAATTGACAAACAGTGATTATGATGATTTGAACTTGCATTACGCACTAAATAAAAGGCTTATCTTCATACTTTTCCTGTAAAGATTCTATAGCTTTTCCGTTTCATTACTAATAAGCAGTGTCCACTGTACTTAAAATTTTGTTTGATTACAGTGATTTTTTATTATCTCATTAAAATCATTTACATTCTGTTGCCACTCATATTGTGAAGTAAATGTGATATGGTGCATTAATTTAGAATTCTATCAGAACTGAATAATTGAAGCATTCAAAAACTGTGAAAATGTACTGCAGTTACCATTCATCACATTCTTGCAACATGTATTGATCAATAAGTGTATCCATCAATATTTATTAATGGTAAGACCATTTTTCACAATGAAAAATATTGTAACAAATCAAAATCGTAAAAAAACAACCTTATATTTAGCGTAGGTATAATGAAACACTCAATCGATTTCGAGGGCAGCTAAAGGTCCCTCCTCATCAGGAGAAAGAAGAAAATAGGAATCACAGAAACACGTGGTGCTTATCAGCACTGCACGTGGTTATAACTAGATTTTTAATCATAGTTGCACTGGCCGCCTACTTTTACTGAGCCAGGCTGTCTGATCAAGTATAAAGAAATATTAGCGAAGTTAAAATAGGGAGCGAGGGGCAAATGCACATTACGCTCAAAATCTGAACTTCAAATAATGAATTCAAATAATTATTTTACGCTCAAAATCTGAACTTCAAATAATGAATTCAAATAATTATTTTACGCTCAAAATCTGAACTTCAAATAATGAATTCAAATAATTATTTTACGCTCAAAATCTGAACTTCAAATAATGAATTCAAATAATTATTTTACGCTCAAAATCTGAACTTCAAATAATGAATTCTAATTATTTTACGCTCAAAATCTGAACTTCAAATAATGAATTCAAATAATTATTTGAAGTTCAGATTTTGAGCGTAATGTGCATTTGCCCCTCGCTCCCTATTTTAACTTCGCTAATATTTCTTTATACTTGATCAGACAGCCTGGCTCAGTAAAAGTAGGCGGCCAGTGCAACTCTGATTAAAAATCTAGTTATAACCACGTGCAGTGCTGATAAGCACCACGTGTTTCTGTGATTCCTATTTTCTTCTTTCTATGTATTTCTTTCTCCTGATGAGGAGGGACCTTTAGCTGCCCTCGAAATCGATTGAGTGTTTCATTATACCTACGCTAAATATAAGGTTGTTTTTTTACGATTTTGATTGTCACATTAGCGTGTTTCTCTTCTAATCTATTGTAACAAATGTTATGGTAAAAAAGAAATTATTTACCAAATCATATGTACCTGGTCATAATAGTAAAAAAAAAAAAAAAATGCAGCTACAAAACTTTGCATTTTTGAAATATCATAATAAGCAAAAACACTATAAATGAGGAAAGTATTGCAAAATATCTTTCCACAGCTATTTTATTACTGAAAATTTAGTTATCAGGAAACAAATGAACGTCACTTTTTCCTTCTGGACTAGCTTTTCTTAATTTTGTGATTGGTTATTATTCATTGATATCATTTGATGCACATATGAATGTGCTCTTTATGTCGTAAGGCTGCATGTAATTTGTTAGTTTTTTTCCCTTCCCTGCTTAATTTTGGTTATGCTACATTTGCTTTTCTGTTTCAGGTATGATCCTCAAACCAATCAGTGGAGTTGTGATGTTGCACCAACTAGCTCTTGCCGTACCAGTGTTGGTGTTGCTGTTCTTGATGGATATCTTTATGCTGTGGGTGGTCAAGATGGTGTATCATGTTTAAATTTTGTTGAGAGGTATAAATTTAGATATTTTCCTGTCACAGGGGAAATTCTTGATCCTTGTATTTTGTAGATTTGTTTCATGATTTTATTATATATTTATTTTTATTAAATAATTATAACTGATGTGCATATCATATTTTATACAGAGATACATACAAACTAGTTAATTAAGAGTACAAATATTTCAGATATGACCCTCAAACTAATCGTTGGACCAAAGTTGCTCCTATGAGTACCAAACGACTTGGAGTTGCTGTAGCAGTCCTTGGAGGCTATCTGTATGCTGTTGGTGGATCTGATGGCTCATCACCTCTAAACTCTGGTAAGTATGGAAGTCCCATATACTAGTAGCAGATCACTTATCTGAAATTTTGAATATTCTTATTTGCTTGTTAAAATTGATTGGAAAGAGCATATCAGTAGAACATCCATTAACTGTGAGATATAATTCACAACAAATGATTTTGTGGGAGTAGGTGAGGTAAATAATTGCTACCACCTCACACTTTAGTAGAAAACTATTTTCAACAGAGGATATTAGCCTGAATAAGCTTGTTAGTGTAAAATAATAATCCCCTGAAATATGATATTTTCAGGCTGTATCTTTATTTAGGGTAAATTTATACATATCCTTTAACTAGTGACATTACATTTAGTTCATATATTATTATGTCTTTAAAATAAATTATATCTAAAATTTCTAATTCGAGAAGAGAAGACCAGTATGTTGTGGTAGATGTGAAAGAAAGATAGCATCTTTAAATTAGGTAAAATTCAGTCTTAGATTGGAGTTCATTTAAAAATCATCACACAATTTTAAATTAACACCGGTCTAAGATTTTTCGCCAAGTAAATTTTACGATTTTTAACAGTAATTGCTTTGTCTTTTATTTATTGGTTCATAATATAAATAAAATTTATTTTTAATGAAGAATTTTATTTTTTATAATTTTAGTTGAGCGATTTGATCCAAGAACAAACAGATGGAGCTCCGTTGCCTCTATGGGAACAAGACGTAAACACCTTGGCTGTGCCATTTATAACAACATGATTTATGCTGTTGGTGGAAGGGATGACACTACTGAATTAAGTAGTGCAGAAAGATACAATCCTCAGACAAATCAATGGCAACCCATAGTAGCTATGACTTCTCGAAGATCTGGGGTAAACATCTTACTTTTTATTATAGTTTTCGTGCAATAATCAAATAATTTATATGACTTCTCGAAGATCTGGGGTAAACATCTTACTTTTTATTATAGTTTACGTGCAATAATCAAATATTTTATAAATTAAGAAAATTTGTTTAATTTCTTTTTTGGGAGGGGGGAATCGATGTGAATTCGATCATGCTATGGTATGCTTGCTGATACGTATTTGGCTGTCAACCCATTGACCATCATAGTGGAACCCTTTAAAATTTCATTGACTCCCAGGGAGTTGATACTTACCCTTTTGGGAAACTTTGATTTAAATGAACGAACCATGTTCAAATCTTGCATAGCTTTACAAGCAGTAATGCTTAAAAGAAGTCAATATTGCCCTCATATAAAAGAAGTATAGAAGATTTTACAAAAATTTATATAAATTTTACTCCTATTTTTATTGAACCATATTTTAAGCATTGCTGTGTAGTATTCATGTAAGAGCTTTGAAGAACATATTTTGTACTTAACCCATGTATTAATTGTAGTTTCGCATAGGTAAGATGACCAAATTTTGAAGTTCGAAATTCGGGACACTATAATTTTTTAATCTTTTTTTTACAAATAAATTTTATTATTATTATTGTGGTCAAGGTAGTATGTAGGTAATATATATATATAAATCAAAATAAATAATATTTGTTTTATTTTTTAATAGTGGTGTATAATATTTTTAATAAGTAAATAAATCCCAATGCAGTATTTATTGTTAAACAAAACAGTGAATTTGTAAACCATCTAAATTATTTTGATGAAGTAGCCTTCTGTTTCTCTAAAGTATGACTATTTCTTAGATTATCTTTTTCTCTTTTTATCATCTCAAAGTCTGTATATTTGGGTGATTAATATACCCTAAAGTTTCCACTTTAAGGTGTGTCACATCATTCATTCAAAAACTGTTCATAGTGCTAAACATTCATTCAGTTGCAGCGTTAGTACCAAGAAGACAAAAGAAAGTCTCTGCCCATTTTAAAACATTTGAACAAGGAAGCTGGTTCTTATTAAAATATGCAGTTATTTCAATCCACACCTGAATTGGACACATCTTACTTTTTTACCATACCAATACTTTTTTCCATCATATATTGTTTAAAGAAAACATATTCCTCATATATATTAGTTTTCTATAACTTATGATTTAGTATCATAATAATTAACAAAAAGGCTGTTTCAACTTAACTCCAAGAAAAGATTTCATTCATTTAATATGATCCAGTGTTTAAAATTTCCGTGCATGAATCTTGCCATTTCCATCTCCTGAAATACTTTTTTGGTCCATTTCTCCAAATAAGTAAGAGCAGTCTGATAAAATGAAACAATCACTTCTCAAAATTCTGTAACTTCATATCATCACGTCTTCATTCTCTTCAAGTTTTTTCTAGAGTTTTTTACCATTTATTGGAATAAAGTTATCACCTATCTTGTCAATACTTGAAGCTTTCAGAGCATCCACTGAAGCAATTACATGAAATACAGATGCTGTTTGATTTTCTGTTGTTATGATGATTTAATGAAATATTGAAGCCTGACAGCTTGACAAAATGTAGCCAAACTTCTGCCGGATTCTCAAAGAATTTTGAGCCCTTTTAATGACGGGAAGTAATGCTAACCTTCTTGTTTGTAAATACCCTAGTATCATTAAAAAATCAGTTTCTACGAAGTTGCAGAAATTTTTCAGCGTTTCTACTTTAACCCTTTAAAGGGCACCAGTATATAGAATATGCCGGTTGTTTGTCAATTTTTTAACCTCCTAAAAAATGCTAATTTTTCTACACCAAAAGGTATAATTGTAAGTTTCTAGCATTTCCTTTCAATTCTAAATGATTAAAAGTTGTTTAGGATTCAATATAATGTTCAGGAAGGGATGGGGAGTTTACTTGTCCCTGTGCTAGGATTGAATACAAGTATATTAGTTTCTTTTTATTTTTTGTTTACTCCACTCGAGTTTCATTTGTCTCTGTTTAGCTAAAATTTTAATTTCAATGCTTCTCCCTTTCCCAAGTGAAAGACTCATCAATTTCAAAATTGCCGTCTGGGGTCAAAACATTACACAATTGTAGAGGTTAAATGTGGCATTTTAGTCCCGAAGGACATCCATTGCTTCATGTTTTCCAAAATCCTAGAATGCAGCGTAAATGAAAAGAGGTAATTGACAACAAATTTGTCATTCGAGAGTCATGCCTTCTTCCCTTTCTGTGATCTTATCACAGAAAGGGAAAGCTCACTTAAAAATATGGGAATATTTCTAAAGCCCATTTTTAAATGCAAACTAAAATTCATGCAAAAGTTTAAAAGGAGCCCCTAGGAAACCAAAGGATTTGAAAACTGAAATAAGAGTATGAAAATTGAAATAAGGTGTATCCAATAAGAAAATTTTTTAACAGCATTTTTCCTGGACAAAAATATATATTAAAACTTATATTTACAAAAAATAAAAAAGGGGCCGTTATGGTACTCCATAATCTAAAGTGCATGGAGGAGGGAGTGATTCTTGGTATCATAGCATGAAGCATGGTCTTTTTTACATATTATCTAAAGCATGAAATATAACTTTACTAATAACTCAGCTGAGAAAGTATGTTGCATTTTTGAAAAATGCTCTATATATTGTATCTCTACAGACGCACTTCAATAGTATGCAAAATTAATTTAAAAAACAAAAATAACAATTGTCAGCTACCTGGAAAAAAATGTCTTAGAGGAGCTCTGGTATAAAATATATACTGACTCTCAAAATTCAGGACTTCGCCTAGATTTTTTTTAAGTTTCAATTTTGTGCCATAAGTTATAATTCATATTAAGTCCATAAGTTATAATTCATGCAAAATTTTACCACAATTTAAATTATTTTATATACTGCCCTTCAAAGGGTTAATAGTATAAGATTTAAAGTATATCTTAGAAATAATCATTTCTGTATCAACTGGCAAAATATCAGCTGATGATCTTATAGTGTTTTGGATAATATGTGTTGTACATCCAACTCGTTCAGTTGGTTATTAAACCATGGTTAATGTTTCATTTCAGTTTAACAAAAGCATTATTTTCTCCATGTCTATCAGTTCCTCCAAGTTAGAATTCGTATTATCGGCAAAAAGACCAATAACTTTTTCTTTATAATTATTATCTTCCTGACAGGTAGTTAAATAGTCGCTGACAATATTGGCTGTTTTTCCAGATAAGGATTTAAATTGTAAAATTTTTGCTCTTAACCCCATTATCCAATCTAGTATAAATCTTAACAAGCATTGTAAAAAGTTTTATGTCCTTAATGCATCAGATAAGATTGAAAACAAATGAACATTTTTGCAAAGCTCTTTATTTCGGCCTTGGTTTGCACACATTTAAATTTAGGCTTAAGTGCCACATGAAGCAGCTTGAACATATGATCATCCATAAACTTAAAGCTATGGTTGTGGCAAATAGTATGGTATGCAGAAGTACCTTCTACTGCAACTAATTCTTCTTCCTTATCACCCATTTTCTCCTGTTTGAAGAAATTCTGTATTGACGAGGTAGATGCAGCAGCAGTGTTCGACATTTTATGTTTATTACTATTTATATAAAGTTTAATGTTTGTATGTCCACCATAGATTATTGAAAATTTTGAAGAATATGTTCACAGCAAAATATTGCACAATACATCGGAATCGCTTAGTTTTATAAATGGGTATTTTTTTAGTCTTCATTAAATGTACACTTTCTTTTTTTTTTAACCTATTATTTAAAAAAAATGGTAAAAATAAATAATAAATTAAACTGCAGTAAAACATATCCTTTGCATGTACATAATGCATCTTTGATAAATAAAAAATATATGTCGTTTCCAAATGGGAAACATCATTACACATTGTTTCGGCAGATTTTAAAAAAATTTTTAACCCATATGCAAATGCAAAATGATGATGGAGTAAAAATTTTACGGCCTAAACATGAAAAAAGAAAAATGATTTTAGATGCTTATATATACATTGAAATTTCAGCAAATGATAAAAGAATTATTTTTAGATGTCATGTAATAATGTGTAAGGGGATGATACGTACATGTAATGCACATTGATAATTAAAACGTGTATATATTTATTAAAAATTGCAGTGCTGTATGTAAGTGAAAATCTTAACTGCAACTGTGAGCAAAAATTCCAAATACGTTGGTGGGCTGGGGAGAGAAATATTGGAATCAGAAATAGAATTCCCCCAATACAATTTTTCTAAAGTAAACGTGAATCCCCTCTTCTTCCCAATGAACCTCTGTTTATGGCTTTCACCTCTTACCTTTCACTTGTAATCTCAATTTGCAATCTACACTACTAAAATAAAGCCCAAAATGGACAAATGCCAAAAACGAGTTAAAAAAATTGGGACAAGGACTGATAATTCAGGACTTTCTCGGGAAATTCGGGATGTATGATTACCTTAACATAAGGCCACTTTTCCACAAACCCATACTTTAAGCCTTTCCAGGCATTGCACCTTTGTTTAAGATGTTCCCTCAGGACTGATGGAGGGTTGTGTCACTGAGCCCAACTTTAGGGGGGGAAATACACAAAAAAGAAGTCCTAATGTCAACATTTTTATATCATTTTAGATTATTACTTAAGCTATTATATATATTAAAATTAGCATTTAATAATCTTTTTCTTTATTTTACAGGAAAATATAAAAGAAAAATTGCTTATTTTGAGAAATAATTTTCAAAAGCGCTATTCAAATTATTCCGAAGTCTTAGTTGACAAAATACATTTGTAAACTTAAAATTTATAAAAAATACAAGGAAGATTATTTACAAGAAGAAGTAACAGAATCTTTCACAGGAAGTGGAAGGCAGGCACTCAGTGAGCTCACTCTCTTATACAAAATGTCCATATGAGAATCATTGAAATAACTCTTTAACTCTGTAGGAAGTGAATCATCACTCTCAGTATTTCTTTTCTTTGATACATAATACTTAATCGTCATAAAAAAACTGAAGTCAGGGCTTTCCAAAATAAAAAACAAAGCACATAAAATGTAAATAATTAAAGTAAAGCAAAGCATAACAGAACTCCACATAGTAACCCTAAAAGACCCTACATTGTAGCGAAGAAAAGAATAAAAAAGGATTTGAAGGCATATCACAAATGAGAATGTTTATATCGTCTGGCGAGTTAAAGAGACTAGCTATGTTTGTTTACATTAGCTTCCTCTCCTTCCCTGCAACAGCTGACACCAAAGTTAGGCAGAATGGATCAAACTGAAGGTCAGGATCTTAAAACTATGTTCAGTTCAAAGGTAAAGTACACAGGGGTGCCATCTAACCAACCATCTATCTAACATCATCAGTGGTCTTTAACAGGTGGTTCAGCTTAAAATGTATATATGTATCATCCGTCTCATAAGCACAATCTCCAGTGGTATATGGGTGGGACGCCTGGTTGTGAGAGACATTCGTAGGGAATGCGTATATGGGATGCCCATCTGGAAAGTGTTAATTAGCTGTAGTCATTTAGTACATTATGCTCAGCTGCATACTTTTCTTAGTAACAATAAAATGTAACATTATTAGTAATATTATTAAGTAAGAATATTATATTATTAGTAACATTCTTACATGAAATTTACAACGAAAGTAAATGAACTTCATAAAAATTTCTGATATATTACTCATTTTTAAAAAAAGGGCATCATATATGTGTTATTAAAAAATGATTTTGTTCAAAGTGCATGCTTTAGTTTTAGTAATTTGTGATTTAGGTTGGACTTGCAGTTGTAAATGGATTACTGTATGCTGTTGGTGGCTTTGATGGTACATCTTATTTAAAAACAATAGAAGTCTATGATCCTGAACAGAATCAGTGGAGACTTTGTGGAAGCATGAACTATAGACGTTTGGGTGGGGGTGTAGGAGTTGTACGATTACCACATCATGAAGCACATTATTGGTGATACTGTGTAGAATAAGAACTTAATATTTATTTATGTACTGAAAATACCTTTTGTACAGTATAAGTTTGCTTTTATTATTTAGGTTATGTAAAATACTGGTTCCATCATACAGTTTGATCATATTTATATATGCATTTGTATAGCTCTATATGAATGATTATTTATTGCAAGAAAATTGCATCATCTTCAAATAAGACATTTAGATAGTGTAAATAAAAAAAGTCTCTCATTAATTTTATGTAAAGAAATAAAATCGATCATACCATTTAAAATAAGAAATGTGCAAAATATGTATTCTTTTTATAACATTAATATTTATTTTCTTTTGTATGCAATTTGTTACATCTTTAAACTCATGTAAATATGGATGAAGCTTAGTGCACAGACTGTTTTAAATTGAATCAATTTTGTGAACTAAATGATTGAACAGAAAGTAATATTAAATTCTGTAGTGTATGTAAAGAAAATTAAACAGTATTAGATAATATGTATTGAAT